GGAATGCGAAAAGAAGATTGTACTTGGAACTTTTCACTCGATCGCTCGAAGATATCTATCAATATACGGGAACCGAATCGGATTGGACTCCAAATTCGGCATCGCAGACGATGGAGACTCCAGGGCAATTATCCAGCGAATCTGCAAGAGGCTGGAACTTAATATCGAACCATACCACGCAAAATCATGGATCAGCAAAGAAAAGGCGAAAGGTCCAAATGCCATGGTGCCGCCTCCAACACAGAAGGGCAGAAAAGAGAACCCAGCATTGAGGACATGCTTCCAGGAATACCAGGCCCAACTCAAAAGATCGAACCTACTGGACTACGACGATCTCCTGGTCAAATGCGTCGAACTGCTTCGAGACCACCCGGCATGCGTGTCCAACGTCCAGACTGTCCTCATCGACGAATATCAAGATACCAACGGCATTCAATACGAACTTATGAAACTCTTCGCCCAAGCACAACAACGAATAACGATCGTTGGCGACCCCGATCAGAGTATCTATGGCTGGCGCTCGGCCGAAGTCAAGAACCTCTTCCGCTTATTGCGAGAATACCCCAATACAGACGAAATATCACTGGAAGAAAACTATCGATCGTCACAATCCATCCTCGATGTATCGCTTACTGTCATTCAGCAAGACAAAAAGCGTTACAAGAAAGTTCTACTGCCGGTCCACACTAAGGGAGCACAGCCGGTACTAAGAACATTGAAAAGCTCGTCTGCTGAAGGCGAATGGATTGTTTCAGAGATCAAGCGAGTGGTCATGATGTTTGGAGATATGCTCAAGTTTGAAGATGTCGCAATTCTCTTGAGATCTGCTGCCCTTTCCCGTCACATCGAATCAGCTCTTGGAAAAGCTGGTGTCGCATATCGAATGATTGGAGGACACAAATTCTACGAACGAAAGGAGATTAAAGTGTTAATCGACTATCTCCGGGTAGTCAGTCAGCCTGACAACAATGATGCGCTTGCCAGGATCATTAATGTACCCCGACGAGGTATTGGAGAGGCAACGATCAAGTCATTGATCGAAGAAGCAGAGCAGTCCGACATGAGTCTCTGGACCTTGATTTTGAAACACTGCAGAGGCAATCGGAAAGCCAAAGCCAACATCAGACCTAAAATGGAGCAAAAAATCAATACAGAACTCATCCGTACCATTACGAGTCTACAAAAAGAAGCCAGCCAAATCAGCCAGAGTAGCCCTGTTACGCTGGTTAATTTGATAGAGCAATTATTAACACACCTCGATTTTAAGAAGTACCTGGAGGAAGAATACACAGAAGAGCACGAACAACGATGGGCCAACGTTCAGGAATTTATCAATTTGGTCAGCGATTTCATGAAAGACTTTGGCGCACCAGATGAAGATGCACTTCCGGAAATCGACAATTTGGATCAGGTAAAGGATGACGATATGCTGGGCCGTTTTCTGGCCAACGTGTCGCTGGCGTCGGATGCGCAGAACAAGGGCAACACAACAGAACAGAAATCCCTGGTCACAATCTCGACAATTCACGCTGCGAAGGGGTTAGAATGGCCAGTTGTCTTTGTACCATCAGTTTATACTGGATCAATACCTCACTCGAGATCCGAAGACACCGACGAAGAGCGACGCCTCTTGTACGTAGCAATGACACGGGCGCAAGCATTGCTGTATCTAAGCTGCCCACTCTACGGCTCCCAAGGAATGAGCAGCAAGGTCGAGCTGTCACCTTTTGTAGCACCGTTCGCGTCCAAGGAGTTTGCCAAAAAGGGCCCATCATTTGATCGAGCGGTTGTGGAAGGCGTTGCCAAAATTCTTGGGCGAGACGCTCCATCTGAAAAGACAGTTTTTGGAAAGCTCCCACCTATGTTCTCAGTCGAAGACGATAAGTTCCCAACCGATCCTATTGACCCCAAGAATGTCGAAAGGTACGATGAGGAATCCGGTCGACAGTATTCTCGCGCACCGAAGCGGCAGCGTGTCTCGAACTCTACCACTTCCCATGATGAATCAGATGAGCTTCCCTGGCAGAGAGAGTATGCTACAACGATGGAACAGTCATCTGATTTTACAGTCGCTGCTTTGCCAGGCTTCACAACCGCCGGGGCTCACAGAGTCGCGCTTGATGCTGCGGCAGCTGCTGCACCACAACCAGCCAGTTCGAAGTCAGGACCAAAGAAGGGATCAACTAAACGAGGCGTTGGTCAGAAAAGTATGCTTGGATGGCTCAATCAAGGACCAAACGCCCCTAAACCTCCGCCCGAACCGCAACCGCAACCGCAGAGTAGGTCTCTTGCACAGGCTCGGTATCAATCTGTTTTATCGCGACAGAACAGCAGGTTACCATCACCACCTGAACCGAAAAAGCCATTGATTGATCCTGAATTGGCGGAACACAAATTACCATCTGCACGACCTCTAGCGAAGCCTAATGTGCCCAAGATTAACGTCGGCGGCCCCCAGAAAGCCTATTCCTGCTTCTCTAGTTCACCTCCACGACCTCCATCGAAAAGGGAGCCCGAAGAAGCCGAGCAAGAAGTCATGCCTAACAAGCCTGCTTCAACTCTTCATGCGACAACGTTTATGTCGGTCAGGCCGAATGGTGGTGTACGACGACCGGTTGGGCTGGGGCCGGCACCAACGATGGACCGATTGAGAAAGCCGTTTAAACCGCTGACGATGAATCGACCGCAACGGCCGAGCGGTTGATGAAGTCATGTGCAATGTTGGAGTAATGGTGATTATGTTTAAAAGCGAGGCGTTTGTGGATCGTTAGGCTTAACAGTTAAGCATAACGGATTAGTTGTAAGGGTCATGTTGCTCAAGATACATATATAGACTGTTTGTAACTCGATTGGAACTGGAAGAATCACAAACACCAGAAAACAATCATCAATTGAATCTACAATCATCTCTTACCACAAAAACCGATTTCAATAGTTCAACAAACCACAATCTTCACTTACTTCAACCCCGCCAACATGTTGTCCACCATCATCACCCGCTTCTCCACCTCAGCTCTACAGGGCGCTCGCAGGTATATCTCAACTACCGCGCCTAAGCAAAACACTATTATAAGCAACAGGACTTCATCTTCCCTCATGAGCAAATGGAACAGACTCTCCCCTCAGAAAAAACGGTACGCCAAGGCAGGCATCGCAGTTGTTGCCGCTACTGATGTTTATGTGCACTACACCTACTGGCCTTCCATTCAAAGCTTTTTCAGTGGCATAGAGAAGGATGGAAGGAACTAAAGGAGTTATGGATTTACACACACATGTATCAATCAATGAACGGAGTTCTTACAAAGGAACCCGGTTCAGCATTGGAGCTACAACGACAACATGTGAATGGATATAGAGATTACAGGATTATACGATATTCAATTTAACCTTTTGTCAACTTCTTAACGTCCAGGTCTATTCTTAAGAGGCTAGTGTACGGTGCTAGTGGCCGGGTGACATAACTATTCCGCTCCTCAAGGTATCAGAAGAATTCCTTGAAGCATAAGGGACGAAATCAACGGGTTAGCTTATACGATTTAGACCAGATTCTTAGGTTGCTTATTTTTGTACCCTAAGGCTTATGAGGCCAACTTTTCTGCTAGACTGGCCGCTCTCTTCCAGTGACCCGAAGGTAGCTAGGGACAAGTTTGAGAGTTGATGAGGCAATCAAAGACGTTCAAAAGCGTCAGGTATAACTAGCTCTTGCCGCTTAGCCGAATGCTGAAGAATGCAAACCGTTCAGCGGGCATGATTGGATCTTTAGGTTTCTTCGAGGCTGATTTCACAAACAACGACAACGAACATCAATGAACAAGGGATTCAATCATATTGCTTTTGATTTGATCTACAGCCTCTCTTTACGACTCGTAAATGAACAATTGTCGGTGGCCAAGCCTGGACTTGGCTTGTGTACATACACATGACTATGCCACTCCGCAAACTGACTCGAGCCAGCCTTGGATCAGCTATGTCAATATCTGAAGGCGAAAACACAGACACTTTTGATAAACAACATGATTCTCAATAAGGAATGAGAATCGTCTTGGCTTGAATCTCGATGAAGAAGCACGTGGAGTCTCCAAAGAAGGGCTGACGACGATCTCTCAACGATAGGTACTTTTTTTTTCGGTGTGTTGTCATTTTTTCTTTCTTTTTACTAGCGATCAGATACTGCATGTGTGTCTGAAATCTACCAAGAACCAGTCCTCCGGGTAAAAGGAAGAAGCAAGAAAAAGCAAAGTGCTCAGTGCACAAAACGTCAGGAAGTTGATGTGATACGTAGAACAAGGGCCCCTGTCAAAGGAACTTTATACCATGCTAGACTTGCAGACTAGGTCCATCATACCCTTGTATTTTTCCCTGTGACGCGAAAAAGTCAAGTCCCCGCTAGAGGGGGTTTGAGAGTACTATAGTACATAGCTAGGGAGGATGCCAAGTTATTCCCGAATCATGTTACATGGGAAAAGGATCTCTCGGCGGGCTTGACGCGGTAAAAAGAAGAATAATTTAGTTCAAGCAGGGGTTTGATGTAACTGGGAAGACGGTAATTAGACGGTACGGTAGCTAGTTGAAGCTGAGACTCTAACGCGACGTCAAATCCTACTAGACGACTGTTGGAACTAGATTATGGTTAGGGTAACGCCTTGTCAACTAACTTGACTGGGCGTTACGCCTTGCTACCTAATTAATGACTGCCGAGACAAGCCCGCTGAGATCCAGTTAATCCAGAACCAACTGCAGCGGCAGTGCAGGTTTATACAGGCGTTATGAAAACTCCGAAGATCGATTTGAACAACTATTTTTCAGGCCGCATAACTGGCCGTAGATTGGACTAGTTAAATCAGTAGACGAGAAGATAAACAGGATAATGAATAAAACAATGGTGTTCTGATTTGATACAGCATGAATTGCTATGCTGAAGTAGTATTTTGTATTACATTAACTCTTTATTTCCCCTGGTATATCCAATTTTCCAAAACTCCATAACCCAACTGACCATGTTAAACATCCAATGTCGACTTCGCAGGTGATACCTCGTATGTTCGAGTGACCATGATACCGTCCCGAGTGTCGCCGCGCCCGCTCATCGTGCTTCCAGCTTGAACTTCACCCTTGTTGCTGTAACCCATAAACTCGGACTTGCCGACGATGTGCTCCTCGCTCGAGTTATCGTCGAGTTGTGTCATGTACTTTGATTTGTTGGGTCGGTTCGAAGAGATGCCGCCTGAGATGCCAGAGCCTCCGATGGTCGCCAGAGCGTGGCCGTGCTTGTGGACGTAGCTGCTGCCTCCCTTGTCGCGGCTACTGCCCTTACTAGAGACGAGCCATTTGGAGGCGGAGAAGAGGGGTTTGATTGCGGCGGCGTTGACAGCGATGATGGCGACGAAGGTCTCTCGGATGGCCCAGATGGTCGACGTGTTGATACCCTGAATATCCCTACCAGTTGTTAGAAAGATTGGAAGAGGATCGGGGATTAGAGTGCTTACCGCAGAGAGAAGACGCAGCGAAGAATTGTTGCGACAATGATAAAGATACCGGAACAAAGGAGAACTCCAATCAACAACTTTCGCTTGATGCTGAGCTTGACTGCCCACAATAGAGGAACGGGGATAGAAACGATAAAGACATCGGTTCTAATGTTTGTTAGCAAAAGAAGAGACAAGGACAGAGCAGCAGTTGGTAACTTACACAACATTGAACACGACCAGGGTAAGGTAATTAGCAACAGCGAGTGTGCAAGAATCTATTACGTTATAAGACTCGAATATTCCAACAGACAGGGACAAACTTACCACCTGGGTTGGGATAGACCTGCCAGTTCTTATGAACAGGAGTGCAATGGCCCCAAATCGCAGCAATGACACTGAGATAAGAGATGATGGTACCGATCTGTGTCCAGATGACAAACTTTCTCTGCCAAAGGCCAAACCTAGGAACAATTCCTGTTAGTAAATGCCCAGAGGAGAAGAGAAAGAATTATGCGTACGTCATGCGACTGTATAGACAAAGCATGACTCCCTTTAAGCAAAAGATGAGAGTAACATAAAAGTTCCATCCTGCAAGGAGACACTTTGAGCCGAATTCTCGCTTGGCAATTTCTGCGGCTGTCAAGTTGGCACCCATCTCGTCGGTAACGTCGATGTTGGTTCCAGATTGACCGATTAGTTCCAGCATAACCAACTCGGCCTGCAGAGGTTAGTTGTGTGAGTTTGACATTGGAGGTAACAGAGATGAGGGAGAACATACTGTCCAAAAGAATAACGAAGCAACAGCAAAGTAGTCATCTCCTTGCCATCCTTTGAAACCAACTGTTTTCCATCTTGCAAAGTAACGAAGAAGAAGGATCAGAGTACCGAGGCCGTACTCTATCCAAGCTTCTGTCTGAAAGGGAGAGGCGGGCATGTTGGTAAGGACTGACGAGGTTGAAAATGCAGATGCAGATGAGACAAGAGATTGAGTTCTGTCAATGTAAGTGATACGGTAGATGCAAGCCACGTTTATGTGATTCGGGAATTAGAGTGCTGGACAGTTTATGGGAATAGCAGGGACAGCCATGTTATGAACTACTTAACATAGTACCTGGTTTAGCTAGCTAGCGAATCTTGATGATGCCAATAGGTTTACATCCTGGAGGATTTTCCCACGGCCCCTTTCCTCCGAGTTTCAAGGCGGCATTGACCATCTCGTGGTCTTGCCTCGCCCTGCCTTGCCCTGTAGATTGACCTCATCTGAGTGAGTCCTTGCTTGCGTAAACTCGAACTCGCCCCTCATCTTCCCCTTTGCCGCCGTGCCGCTAGATACCTTGTCTGGTGGACCCTGAGAGGTTTGGTATCCCCGAGTGCATGAGTCAGTTGATCGTGATTGGTGTATATGGTATCGATGGGGGGATTACATACACGTTCCTGCTTCTATACGGGAATTGTTACTCGCATGTACTATGTATATACGGCACTTGTTGCGTTCCAGGCTTTGTTTCTTCTGACTCTTGATCCTTGAACCTTGGCAATACTCTCTGAACAAATCGAATCATATCTCCCTCAACTCCACAGCTGTGTTGGAGTTGTTCGCTTCCAAATCCTTCCTTTTGGTCAGAAACCTGGTTGATACATGCATTGCATATGCAGATCCACACTGTTGGTTTGTCCCTTGTAAAAAAGAAAAGAAAAAGAGGAGAAGCATCATAGTACTTTATACATACATAATGCCTCTCGAGCTATGCTGCTCGAATTGAACCGTCACGGCAATGTATTCAACTTAGTCAATACCCTGACCAAAGATCAGCACTGTCTGCGGAGATAACTGAACTAGGGGAGGTGTTCCAGGTTAGTATCCGTACAGACCCATACATAAGGCAGGCCAAGGATGAGAAGGAATGGTTGGTTGATGCCAAGAAAGTATCCGGATCCGCACTTACAGGATAATTTCAGGACGTGCTTCTGTAGTTTGATCCACTGATGCGTCCCTTTAGCTAGTTGTGGAAGTAGCTTAGGTCTGGAGAAATTGGAGCTAAACTCAGCCTTTGAACTTTGATAAACCTATTAGAACGCGAGGATCTTCAAGACTAAGTTCCATGTTGGTATAGTATGGTGTACGTATCTCTAACGATGTCAGCGTTTCTTGTTATTCTTTCTGTCCTTCCATTATCAGAAACTAAGACATGATGTACATGAAGATTGTACTATGCATGCATCGTGAAGAAGTTCAAAGCACATATACCCTGCAGCCAAGCCATTCGGTTATGCGTGAAAATAGGGGATTAAAAGGCCCGGGCAGAGCTTGAATGGTTTTATGCTTCTTTTGGCCCGCAATGCAACGTTGTTGATCATCAGAACGACTATACCCAGGGGCCATCCCCGATTGGTCAACTTGGTAGAAACGTTGAGGGTTTCTGGGGTTAAATACGCTTAGTCAAGTGGTAAATCTGCCTTTTACTACTGTACTACACAAAGCAGCTCCTTAAGTACTTAGCAGGCACACTGCTAACGACGATTCCGTTCTTGGCATTCCGATTCCGATAAACTGAGGCTTCTTTCAGAGCCCTTTCAAGGAATTGGGAAACCGACCGGGTTGAAGCACTCAGGAACGACGTCTTTATTGGGTTTGGTATGATGGATCTCTCATGCAATGAATCCCTTTCCTTTCCACCAACCCCATGAAACCTCCCAATAGTAAGGCGAGACAGAGGCAAGACAGGACAGGGACAAGGCTACTGAATGGCACCACTTTCGTTCCTTTGGATGGGGTAGTCTAGTTAGTTTGTGGTGGAACTGGCCCAAGTTACACCATTATAAGAGATTCATAGACGCCATCCAACGTGGCTTGTACTTGTCTATTTCCTATTCCCATATACCTCCTCTTCCTCGTAATATAAAAAACCTCATATCTTATCAAACTGTACTATACACGAAAAAAGACAACATGGCTGTTCCGGAAACAACATATGACTTTATCGTCTGCGGGTAAGCTTTGCCCATATCACTGCTGTGCATAACCAACAGTTTACTGACTCATTTCATCACAGTGGCGGTACATCCGGATGTGTTGTTGCTGCACGTCTTGCTGAAGATCCTAATGTCAAGGTCCTCGTCATCGAGGCTGGCCAACACAATGAGCATCTTGAGAATGTCCACATGGTTGGAGGGTAAGTATCTGATCACATCTGATCAGCTGTCTTTGACCCAGTATGAGAATGTAAATAACCAACTCTTTGACAGATGGTCTCAGAACTTTGACAAGGAGACTGATTGGAATGTCATCTCTACACAAGGTCCTGGTGTCAACAACCGTCAAGTGAAGCTCAGTCGAGGCAAGTTCCTTGGCGGTTCTTCAGGATGCAACGGTACTTTGATGGTCAAGGGAATGGTAAGTTTGCGATACTGTTGGCGCTCATTACATTCTTGACTAATATTTTATAGAAACAAGATTATGACGACTGGAACCTTCCCGGCTGGAGCGGCGATGACATGTTTAAGTATATGGCCAAGGTATGTGCTTTACGAACTTGCATATTTTCTTGAATACTAACATGACGTATAGGCTGAGCACTTTCACACAAAAGACTGGTTCAAAGAGACCAAGGGATCTCACGGATATGAGGGCCACGTCCACACTGAGCCCCATGACTTGGCTCCCATCTCCAACATGATCGCAGAGTCCATGGTCTCAAAGGGTCTTCCCCTGGATCACGACATGTTCGCCACTGGCGAGAACAACCACGGATGCGGCCACTCAGTGAGAACAGTCCACCAAGGTCTCCGTACTACAAGTGCAGACTTTATCACCAAGCAAAAGCCCAGAGACAACCTCCACCTCATGGTTGAGACTCACGTTGAGAAGGTGCTTATCGAGAAGGACGCTCAAGGTGAGCTCAAGGCTACTGGTGTTCGAGCTGTCAAGCCTGATGGTACTTTTGTCGAGCTCAAGGCTTCCAAGGAGATTATTGTTAGTGGAGGAGCTTACTGTTCGCCCAACATCCTCAACCGATCAGGCATTGGCGCCAAGGATGAGCTCGAGAAGCATGGTATTACTACCCTTGTTGACCTCCCAGGTGTCGGAAAGAACCTCCAGGATCACTTGATCGTCTTCATGTTCTACGAGACAGACAAGGAGGGCATCACAACCGATTCTCTCGTTTACCACGGCGACGCCTTGTCAAAGGCCCTCACCCAGTGGAAGGAGGAGAAGAAGGGTCCCATGACTGCCTTCCCCTTTGGAATCTTTGCTTATGCCCGAATTGACGAGCGTCTTAAGGACTCTGAGATCTGGAACTCTGCTCCCCGAAAAGAAGGTCGTGATCCTATGGGCCTGACTCCCAAGCAGCCCCAGATCGAATTCTTCACTACCGAATGCTACGGTGGCCCTAAGCAGTTCGACCAGTTCCCTGTCAACGGTAACCACGCATTCAGCATGATTGCTGAGCTCTTCGCCCCCAAGTCTCGCGGCACCGTCACTTTACGCAACGCCGAAGCCACAGCCGTCCCGGTAGTGGATTGCAACTACCTCTCAGACCCTCTGGACCTCGAAGTCCTCGCCGAGGCGTGCGCGTTCGGCAATGAGATCATCGTCGAGGGTGCTGGCACAAAGGACATTGTCAAGGGCTCATGGCCTTCTGACTTGGTGCACCATAAGCACAAGACGCGCGATGACTGGAAGGAGTACGTCAAGGATAACGCCACGACGTGCTACCACGCCAGCGGAACTTGCGCCGCTGGAAAGAAGGACAACCCTAAGGCTGTCGTTGACGAGAAGCTGCAGGTTCACGGCGTCAAGGGGCTGAGAGTTGCTGATTGCTCCATCATGCCTACTGTGAACAACGGACACACCCAGATGCCTGCTTATGGAATTGGTGAGAAGGCAGCTGATATGATTAAGGAGGCGTGGGCTTAGATTAGCGTTGAGTCGATGCAGATGGAGATACATACCCCAAAGTAGTTAAATGATAATTAATGAGTTGCTTTTAATACTTGTTGTGCCTATTGGTTGAGACGGTTCTATCAATCATTTTTCCGATAGGATGTCAAAGTACCAGCTTTCCGGTAACCCGGATTTGACAGTGAGACACTGCAGACGTTTTCCTTCATTCTTCCCCTGCATCTTGTCTCGGAATCGTCGGTTTGAGTGTCAAACTCATTTCAACAAGCATGTGAATCCTGTCCCTCGGGTGAAGCTCATACCCTGGTCCAATGTCAAGGTCAAGGTCTATATGCAGATCCGTTTCTGTACGTGTCCTGAATTGGCTTGTCTTATTCTCCTACCCCAGTCTAGAAGAAATTACGATCTTTCTGAGACCGCCACAAAAAAGTTCCTGCAGAAACGTTGCAGACTTTTGACAGGCTTGCTAAACAGCGGAAAGGAAGAACCGCCTCTACGGCTTGTCGATCTTTCAGGAGACTGTTCCTTCAAAAAAGGAAGGTCTTTAACTGGACTAGGTTGTCCTGGTGATCGCCAATTGGGGCTGTCCAGACCTAGGCCAGGATACTGTAATAGTTGGGGTTCAAGTTAGACCCAAGGCCCAGGTTTTGATCGATCAAGCTCAAACTCAATTGATGAAATTATGTGAGAACATGTTGATCAGATCTTCTGTCCTTGTCCTTGTCCTTGCTCTTGAGCCCTGCCATGACGGTAAGTTGAGCCGGTGCTTTGACATGAGCGCTGATCCATTGAAACGAGATTGACATCTACAAGACAGACTTGGTTGGGCTTTCTTTTGACACCTCATCATTGGGGATAACTCAACACTTAATCAATCTACTAGGGACACATAAACACAAGCTTTCTGTATCCATAATGTGGTTAAAATGTCTGTGGTTCATGGTAGTCCAAGGGACCAGCGCTTAGTGGAAGCCTCCTTAAATAGCTCTGCGTTAGCTGTCAAAACTGACAAAAGCCACTAGCAAAAGTTTCTAATTATCAGATCACTTGTGATTAGGTCAAGGCAAAAAAAAAAAAGCCCAGTAAAAAAGCCTGAACCGAACCTAGTTGCCTAACAGAAAATAGCTCAAGATTGCAGCACAATATGTTGTCAGAGTCTTTGAAGAGAGTCCATCCCGCATTCCGGTATTGGTATATAATGCTCACAGACCGTATAGTACAAAAGAAATAAGTTATTGCTCAGTGGTATCTTGAATTCCAAAGACTGTTGTCCAAACCTCCTCCATTACCATTCCTCCAAACTTCCAACATTTCGTGTCATATCGTAATCAACTCTCATACTGCACCGTCACAGTTTTCGTCTGTAAGATGGCTGGTTTGATCGTTCCGCCAACGATGCCCTTTTCTGAATCCGAGTCCATCCATCCAGCAGTTTGTGTATCATCCGCGTTCCCTACACTTGTTCTCGTCTCATGTCCCACGCCCTTCACGGGTCCCATAATAAAGTCTTCAGCAGGTGAATCACGTCCTTCATCGAATTGCGAATAGTTTGTTCGTTTACGTCGGCCTTGGGACGAAGGGGCAAGCTTGGAGCCTGCAGTGTCAGATTTGCCGTATTTCGAAGATCGACCTGTTTTGCTGCCATAGCGAGACTCGCCGATGAGCTTGGGTGCGACGTGCTTGAAGAACTTGCGGAGTGTCGGCATCGTAGCGCACATGATAATGAGATTTGACTCGACGATACTATAAGTCACTTGATTAGATCATAAATCTGGGATGAACGGGGAGTACTTACATCCATATACTCGGATATGCAATTTCCCAAGACAAGTCCATACTCTTTAACATTCCTGGTAGAAGCGATATCCTCACGATGGATGTGATAACAGTCAAAGAACCAATCGTAAAGATCCCCATCAGGCCAATCTTTTGCTTGAAAGGTAGCTGAAGCTTAAATACCATGGGGAGCGGGAGAACAAAAAGGATAACGTCGCTTGCGATATTGACGGCTGCCGTAGCAAAGTACAATACTGGCTGGTTGACGCAACTACCTCCTGTAACAGTGATATCCCAGTTTTTGTTGATAGGATGGCAAGCAAACATGACGGCGAAGAACAGACCAACGGTATATCCGCCGATGAAGAACATAGAGGAGTAAACGGCAATCTTGAACCATCTCTGAGGAGACAGGCGGAGGTAGAAAATTAGGAGAGCAATTTTGGCGAGGGATCCGCAGACGACATATATAATGGCAGCTACGTAGACGTCCTATTCAATAGTATGTTAGTACTTTCTCCTCTAGATGAGTATTCAAGTCGAGAGTTCGGTGAGTTCTGACCCTGAGATATCTATTGAATGTTGTAATCGGTATTTCCCAAGCATGAACACCTCCAGCCCCTGAAGCAAACATGTCTAATAAATGATCAGTATAAAAGATCTGAAAGGGTACTCAATAAGACTTACCGAGACATAAAGCTACTGTCGCGACAGCGAGTGCCTGCAAGTGTAGTGATTAGTATCTATCTAGTGTAGTCAGGTCATCTAAGCAAATGGTGCGAGCCATTGGTACTGCTTAGATAGCGATCTAGTGACCGTAATTGAATGCACGTACGTATGAGAATATGAGTAACCCTATGCGAATTGTCAGCATTCTATCTCGTCAAGGTCGATCGATCACGTCAACAACATCCGAGCAACCCTTGCAAAGATCGTCTGTTTCACCCGTGGACCAACAGAGCAAGAAAAAAGAAAAGACTCACAATCGTCGAACTGCAATCCTCCTGTGAGAAATATCTTGACATACATCCTCTGCATGAAGAAGAGGAAACTGATGGCCAACCCGAACCCAGCTACGAGATACGCATCTGGAACACCTTGTCTTGCTGGGTTGTCAAAGTTCACCACATAGCCCTCTGGCGGTGGGAAGAGCACCATTACTCCATCTATCGTCGTCATCGTCTCGGGGTTTCGTTGCTGTCAAAGGAGTGTGTTGTTGAGTTTGGTTGAGTTATCGAGGAGACAGAGAAAGACGAAGAGGAGAAAGAGAGGGGATGGAGGCTCCTTCAAATGTAACCCGAAGAGAATGCGGCTCGAAACAGTCCTTCAACAAGAGATATGCAGGGGCTGACTATATACTGGCATGTTTTCTGGCATCTACGATACGATACATTACTTCTACTACTACTTCCAATAGGCTAAACAAGTTTCTTACAAAGATTTTCGTTTGGCGAATTGGTACAAACAGGGGAGTTTCCTTAAAACAAACGCTCCAATAGCCCCAAAGAAGACGCCATTCCGCACTTTTGGGCTTGGCCTTTGAATAAGGTCAAGCCCTGGAGATGGACTGCCGATCCGGGCAGGTGGTATAGAATCCTATGAGTCCGAGCCACAACACGAGTAAGAGTGACAGGATAGTTCATCAGGGAACTCTCATATCTTTACCCTCTAGCCACCAGCTGTGAACAGGTTTAGAAACTAAGTCTTGAAACGGTAGGAATACGGACCACAGAGCGAACTAGGAGAATTTCGGAGACCAAAAGGATCTTCGAGATTAATCGAAGTGCCAAGAGAGCTCGTTCGGCTAGGAACCGATGTTTAGCTTATTGTGTCGGAGGATTCGGTACGAGAGCTGAAAGGGTTTATATGTCCTTTATTAAGAACCGGGAATGGTACTCCTACGGGAAAGCCGTTTATGCGATGCAGAAGGGGCAAGCTCGTGCAGTGCAGAGTACCTGTATCAGTGAAGCTGGTGGTTGCTTCTTATCTTGATTCGATTAAGAAAGAGTTCATGTATGCGTTCATGTATGCCAGTTACTGATGCAGGAGAGATGCAGGGATCAATGTTTGATCTGTCAGTTGAGTCTTGGTCCAAGAGCTATACTCACCCAAGCCAGACACTTTGTTCTCTGGGTGGTTCCTGATGAGCACATCACTTTTACACTGTCACAGGATTCCTTATTGCCCGTAAAGTTCAGGTCAGGCGAGCTGTATGATATAACCAAGGGTAACCCTACCCTGCCCATCAGTGTCTTGTGTACCATCAGAGTCATGCCTGCAACAGGGAAAGCTCCTAGAAGCCATGTTGCTATTCTATTTTGTCTGTTCCTGCGTCAATGACTGACTGATCAATCTTCTTACATGGTTCTACCTGTCTCTGTAGCCTCCCCTCATTCTGCTGCCCGCCTCGTCTATCTTGGAGAGACCCAGTAATTAAGCAATTTCGTCTTGTTTTGTCAAAGCGTCTGTCAGACCTGCGGAATTAAAGGATATTTCTACGGAACGAATGGCAATAACGCGGAGTCATTGACGAAGATCTTTCAATGATTACTAGTAAGGATGTATAGTGGTTGATCAACACTATGTGGGCCATCATTACCCTTAGCCCTCGTATCAAACCAAGACGGCGAGCGAGAACAACAACTGATGCATGACTGATGGAACTGAAGGGTTCATTGGCTACACAAAAGAGTTACAATAAGAGTTGCAGTGCTCTTCAAAGAAATGACGTTCCATCGAGAAACTGCTCACATTATGCACTACACTCGTATATCCAGCTATAGATCCCTATCAACGGCCCTCGCATCCCTGTAATATAAGCTATAAAACCCCCAAGTTATATACTCCACAGATGCGGCGCATGCTCAGGTACAAGGGTCCTTGGGCATGCTCTGGTTGCACTACCGCAACACGACAATGCACAAAGACAACCGAAACAACACTTGGCAAGTCTTGGTCTCTATGCGGTACTCCCAGAGAAGAAGCTGCAAGCCATTTTTCGTTTCAACCCATCTACCACCCAACGGATACCTGGACTACCAGTATCCGTGTATACTTAAAATAAGCCTATGGCATTTAGACTACTTCCTATTCTGTCCTCGTTCTCCGACGTTAATGTGCTATACACGGAGTTTCCGGTGGTAATGGGCTGAGTCTTCAATGCTTCCATTTGCAGGTAACTCAGTCAGGATTAGGAATAGCTTCGTTGTCTCTTTCTCTAGCTGTCCTTTTACCTCCTGGTCGGCTGTATTGCAAAAGATCGACGATATCCGTAGTCCGGTTGAGTAGTGATCTGTTAAATAAGAGACCATCTTCCTCTCTCCATATCCTGTAGATCCTTGCCCTTTACTCATCTCTCTTTAATCATATCCCTTTGATACTAACATCGAGGGTATCCTTCCATTCATTCAACTAAGTACTGTCGCTCCGGGATCTGCATATCACAACGTTGCAATAATGAAACTTCAACATCTCGCTACCCGAGCCTTGAACGCCGGCGCTGGTGTCAAGATGCTCCAGTCAAGTCCCGAACAATGCGTAAGTTTTGTGGCTTCCCGAATGAAACACAAATCGTCGATCAAGACGCTTTGGCGTACATTTGACATTGACTATTTACACTCTTCCCACATCTCTTGCGTTAACCCGTCACTCTGCATCTGCGCCACTATCACCAGTAACCCCATACTCATTAGACGTTATGACTAACACCAAGTCCAAGTGCGCTGCCTTGTTAGAAGAAGCTGGTCTGGGAGACAAGGTCGTCACCAAAGGCCAGACTCTCTGGAGCAACCGCATAGATTCTTACTGGTCCGTCAGTGCCGCCTTGGAGCCTGATTGCATGGTCTTGCCTGAAACTGCCGAAGATGTCTCCAAGATTATGAAGGTCATTACAAAGAACCAGTGCCAGTTTGGTATCCGAGGTGGTGGCCACGGTAACTTTGCACTGTCCAACTCGGTTGATGAGGGCATCACCGTTGACTTTGGTAAGTCGAGAACAACATTACTTAGGCTTTGACACATGCTAATTGAGCCAAGGTTACATCAATGGTACGACATATGATGAGGAGAAGAACATTGTATCTGTTGGACCTGGTGGTCACTGGCAAGATGTCTACGATACTCTTATCCCTTATGGTCTCGCTGTTGCTGGGTACGTTGTATAACTCTACTCTCGTATGCTCTGCTGACTTGTTTATGACAGTGGCCGTGCTGGAACAGTTGGTGTTGGTGGCTTCGTCACTGGTGGAGGAAACTCATTCTACTCTGCATCTCATGTAAGTCATCGATGTGTTCAAACTCACTTCACTCAAGCTAACATACTATAGGGAATGGCTTGTGATACAGTAGCTGGTTGGCAAGTAGTTCTTGCCAATGGCGAAATTGTCGAGGCCAACGTCAACGAGAATGCCGATCTTTGGCAAGTATGTTAACTCCCAACTCTTCTTAACCTATATCACTTACTAACTCTCCAAAGGCAATGAAGGGCGGCTCAGGCAACTTTGGCCTTATTACTCGTATCGACCTGTATCCCATCGAATTTGCCGAGCGCTCAAACCCCGTCATCTGGGGTGGCAACCTTTTGTACAAGCCTGAGTCAGGCCCTGCTGTGATCGACGCCCTTATTGACTTTACCGCCAATGTTCCCAAGGATGAGAACTCGAGCAGTATCGTCTACTGGGCCTATCTCCCTGCCATCGCCGGCGGTACCATCCTCAATGCCGCTATTGAGAACACCAAGGGTCTGGTCAAGCCTCCTGCCTTTGACGCCTACTACGCTGTCCCTGATATCCAGGCTGATACCACTGTTTCCGAGAGGCTGAGCGTAGTCACCAAGGAACTTGGATCAGGTCAGCCTCCTCACTTTAGAAACATCTGGTTCACCAGCTCCTTCAAGCCCAACGCTGAGCTACTCCTCTATGTCGTCGACAAGTACAACAAACTCAACCAGGACCTCGAAGCTCTCATGCCCAGCAGCGAGTCCGGGCTTAACACGCTTTGCATGTTCCAACCCATCACCAAGGCCATCGCCGACAAGGGTGTAGTCAACGGCGGTAACGTCATGGGTCTAGATTTCTACACTGCTGACGGAGATGGTATCATGTTCCTCCTTACCTGGGCTGCCAAGGGTGACAAGACCGAAGAGAACGCCATGCCTTTGCTCCAAGCGTACATTGAAGATATCGAGACGAAAGCAAAGGAGATGGACGCTTTTTGGGAGTGGAAGTTTATCAACTACGCTCACCTCAGCCAGGATCCTTTGGCCACTGTTGGTGAGGCGGCTCTTGCCAAGCTTCGTGCTGCTAGCAAGAAGTACGACCCTGAGGGAGTCTTCCAAAAGCTGCGAGCTTCTGGCGTCAAGATTCCCTTTTAAGCGATATGACATTACGTTTCACTTAATACAAGCATATGAATTTGAATAGAATAGATTATTTAATGAAAGAAATACAATGCTTCTTGATTTGATACAAAGGTGGAAAGTAAAGACCCCCAACTAAGCCCTGGTAAGAACTTCAGAAGTGATTGCCTTGTTGGCCATCTTCATCTCCTTCTGAACCTCTCGTGCTCGCTGAACACCAAAACCGTGTTGGAAGATGTCCCTGATATCTTCCAATGTCATTCCCTTTACCTCAGGGTAGCAGAAGTAGATGCAGGCCCAACCGAGAATGCATATGGCAGCGTAGAATCCAAAGGCGCCTGAAGGGGTAGTATTCTCCATCTGAGTGAGGAAAGTAGAGGCAACGATGATGTTGGAGCCCCAGCAGGTCATGGTGAGCATCATGGTTCCCATAGCGCGAACTTCCATTGGGAAGAACTCGCTTGAAAGCCAGGCGGTGTTGCCGATACCTGAAGAATAAAATCCCACAAAGAAGACCATGGAGATGAGAACGACAATAGCGGCCCATCCAACCTTGGCATCGGATGCAAGGGACAAATCGTGATTGATAGGGATGAACTTGAAGCAGACAGCAGCAATGATGAGGAAAAATCCCATAAAGGGAACTGTGCACAGAAGGATTCTTCGTCGACCTGCACGATCGACGAGCATGAGGTTAACCCAGGTGAAGATGAAGTTGGTTCCAGCAATAATAGTACCCACAGCGACGGGGTTGGAAAAGCCAACAAGTGAGAAGAGAAGAGGCGAGTAATACATGAGAGAGTTGAAACCGCTGAGTTGAGAGATGGCCATGAGTCCACAAGCAGAGACAAGAGCGCGGAAGTTGGCAGGGATAACATAGAGCTGCTTAAACACCCACCAACCAGATTTTCCAGCATTGAGAGCCTTGGCCTCGTTGACGTGGTGAGTCAAGTGCCGGATCTTGTCCTGGACTTGCTGCTCAGTGCCATTGGGAAAAATCCGACGGATGACTGCCGCGGCCTCCTCTGCCTTACCATGGGATATCAGTTGACGAGGCGATTCAGGACAGAAGGGTAGAAGACAAGCTAGGATGATGGCCGGTAGTGCACCTCCTCCCACCATATATCGCCATCCGCCATTAACATGAGCAAAAGCAGCTCCAACGCCGTATGAGAGAAGCTGACCACCGGTAATGCTCATATTGTCAAGACCAATCATGCGTCCTCTGTACTTTGAGGGAGAACACTCGGCGATGTACAATGGCACAATCATGGCAGCAGAGCCTACTCCGAATCCAACAACAACACGGCCAACGGTCATTTGAGCGACTGTAAAAGAAGCAGCTTGGATGATGGCACCGATAGTGAATAGGAGACAGCCAACATAGATGGCCACTTTTCGTCCATATCGATCAGCTGTGGCTCCAGCAAAGATGGCTCCGATGAAAGCACCACCAGAAGTAACGGAAGTGACGAGTTCTTTCTCTTGTGATGTAAGAGTCTTGCCGAGATCTTGGTGGATGTAGACGAGGACGGCGGAGATGATGCCGGTATCGTAACCAAAGAGCATGCCACCAATGGCAGCTGTGATGGAGACGAGCCAGGAGAACTTGCCCGTCTTTGTCTGCTCGATAGAATCGAGGTCATCGATGTTGACCTCTTGGATGGAGTCTGGAGAGTTGCTGTGTTCGAGATGCTCAAGATGACCTTTTGAGTCTTCCTTGGTGGACATGATGAAGAGTTTGAATGGTGAAGAACGAGTTGATGCGATTGTATAAGTAAGAAGGGTGATGCTGATCTGAATGAGATGAACTGGAATGTTTGATGTCGACAACGTCTCTTTATATATCTGATGTCCAACGTGAAGCACACTACATGAACCAAGATAGTGAACTTGGTACAGTATATGATGCTACACCGAAACCTGATTATCTTGAATTGACGAAAAGAAAGAATTGCCTTTCTCAGAAAGAAAAACGTGGAATTAGTTGGCATATACTGACTATCAGTTGCCTCCGGGGAAAACGACGCATGCAATGATTGGATAGAAATACAGTCTAGACCATTGGCTAAGCACGTACACTCCGGAAATCTCTCAGTAGAGCATGAACTATTTCTTCCCCAGATGATCAACGTTTGAAGCCATCCCCAGCTGCGGTTAGCTGCAGCCAACCCCACGGGGTAGGCGGGGCGTTTCGCCAGTGAGCTTCCAGGGAGCATGACGTTAAAGTTCGGTGCTAGATCCACTGGGGCTCAGCGTGGGTGCGGAGGCTACCAGCACCGGCTCGGGCAGAATTACCGTTTACGTCCCAAAGAGGTAATTACCCTTTTAAGTTAAAATGGGACTCCCTCTTTTCTTTCTTTCCATTCATTTACCTCATCTATCATCACAAGTTTTATTTCCTATTTTCATTTATTGTGGAATGAATATGCAAGAGCCTCAGGCTTCATCAACGGCTACTAACAGGCCTCTGAATCCATGTACAGTAAGCTAACTGCCCTACCTACCCTAAGACTAGACCTGTAATAGGTAGCTGACAGATGCTGTTCCTAGGTTTGCAGGCAAAGGTCAGTCTGTCTCTATCTTATCAGGGCAGGCAGTATCGTCCGTTGATTGATTACTTTGTTGTCTTGTTTGAAGTACCTGGTTCTAACTAGTATCTGTCTCCATCTCTGATAGGCATCTGAAGTGTAAGTTCTTCTGAATGACCTCATTCTTTCTTCGTAATCACTAACTTCGACAGGTGACAACGACAAAACATGTTCAAACTGTCGAAAGAGTGATATTGAGTGTGTACGTGGTTATAGTGTGAGGTTTCGTCATGGTCTGAATCCCAGGTAAGTTGCTTGCCTCCACTCGGTCCTTCTTACACTAACTCACCCATCACTAAGTATACGTTCTGGCAAGACTGCCGAAGCCAAAGCAAAAGAATACAATTTCTCTCAAGACCAACCATGGGTCAAAACAACCAGAACTCTAAGTTTTGTCGACGAAACTACAGACGTGATCAACATCCATGATTCCGGTGCCGCCAATTTTGATACCTTGGATAGTTTCGGGGATGACATCGATTCTTCACCACCTCTGGATCCTCTTTATAAACTCCAGTCACAAGATTCCGTGGAACAGGACCGGCCTAGATCTGTAGCAGACTTGGCAGAAACCCCTTCCAACGATAGCCAACGCCCGTCCAAAAAGCGAGCCCTGAGTTCTTCTTCTGCTGGACCATGGCTGACTGCTACTCCTCGTTCGAACCCTCCTGATGCTCTATCACCTAGTCAAAGATCCGACAACGGCATCATTCTTGGCGTAGCGAGTCCGCAGGTCGCTGCTGCACTTGCAAGTTCCCGCCAGACAGATCTATCAATTCCAGTTGATCATGTCACTGAAGCCATCTCTGGTATATACCTCGACGCACCAAGGTGGCCGCTTCAAGATCCACAAGAGGCTGTGTTATTTTACAACTTCATTCACGTTCTTGCCCCTCTTTTCGACTTGTGTGACAGTGAACGACACTTTGCCACCATTGTTCCTCGGCGAGCCGTCATGTGCCCTCCTCTGATGAACGCAGTACTCGCTGCCTCTGCCAAACGCCTAAGCAGAGTGGATGGATTTGATGAGTTGATCGGTGATAGGTATCACCAAAACTGTCTCGATGCTCTTATCCCAGCATTGTCCAGTTCCGCTGCTGTCATGGATGAGAACCTACTTACGGCGATTGTGATCCTTCGCTACATGGAGGAACTCGATGTGCCTCTCACATCCGCCGAAACAGCCAGCGAATCACATCTTGTTGGCACAAGAGTCTTTGTTGCAGCACAGGAAAAGATTCTTGATTTCACTGGCCTCCGCCGCGCAGCGTTTTGGGTCGCCCTCAGGCAAGAGATACACATGTCATTTATGCAAGCTCGACCTGTTGACCCCAACTTTGCGCTGGAAGACATCTCGCGTCTCGTCCAAAATGACGATACCTGTTGTACCTTTGCAAACCTGACCATCCTGCAATGTGCTGCGTGCCTTCGCTATTGTTACGGTTCCGAAGACCAGAGCTTCTCGGCGTGGGAGAGGTTACAGGAAGCCCAAGAGAGATGGTGGGCAGAAAGGCCGTGGCACTTTCATCCAATGTATATCAACGAAAGTGATGATGTTCCTGGATTCTTCCCACAAGCGCTTTATCTTAACGATGCGGTCGTCACAGGAGTACTTCATTATTTATTGATCAAGGTTCTACTTGCGGCGCATAATCCCAGAACACCAAAACTGGGTCCCGGACAGGCTAAAGCAGCCAAGGCAATAAATGAAGAAATGAGAAAGACTGTTAAGATGGTTTGCGGAGTAGCTGAGGTATAGTAGTCTATCTATCTTGGCCAAGAGGGCGTCTACTAACACGCACAAGTCGAATCAAAGAAACCCAACAGGTTTTGCGTATGTTTTCCATTGCTAGTTATCGTTATCTCGTGTTAATCGTTTTTAGATATGCCTGCCTCGCCATAACCATGGCTGGTGATCGATTTAATAATCTATATGAACAAGAAGCCCTTTACAATATCCTCCAAAAGGCAGATGTTCAATTTGGGTGGCCGAATCGATCAGTGTAAGGACAACTTGATGACAAGTAAATCACGAGACTAACGGATAAATAGACAAGAGTATTTGAAGGAGGTTTGGGGCTGGACTGAATCTCCTATGAATGTGAATTCTGGAATGCCAATCGCGGGGATGCTCAACAGTAATTTACAATTAGTATGATGATGATGATATGATTCTATAAGCATATGCACGAGGCAATCTATAGTTCTGACATGGTCTGCTCATGTAAACGAGTTCTGCTGATACTAAACACTCCACGTATTGGCCAAAGATGTTAAATTAATAAAGCTATTACAACTAATCATTCTGTTCGTCTAGCTATGCTTTTCATCATTCCCATCCCCTCCCAAGTCCCGACGCCAAACCTTGAGGGGCATAGGCCCTGGTGCAAGATTCATAGCTTCAGTCCTAGATGGCTCCCACTCAGTAAAAGGCAGCGCCCACTCATACCTATGCACTACACTAGCTAAAAGTACAGTCTGTTCTAGATAACTAATGTTCCTACCGATGCAACCCCGTGCTCCAGTGCTGAAAGAGATGAAGTACGGCTGCAAGTCCTTGCCTTTTTCCCCAAGCCAGCGTTCAGGAACGTAGGCCTCAGGGTCAGGGAAGATGTTTGGGTCTCGATGCGCAACATATGCCGAGATGGACACAGTTGTGTCGCCTGGGATATAATCACCCAGTATATTCCAGCCTTCAGGTGGCGTGCGGCGAGGAAGACCAAAAGTGGTGGGTGGTGTGATGCGTAGGGACTCATCCAAACAGGCGCGAAGATAGGGGAGATGCTTGACTTTGTCGTATGGAGCGACGGCTTCCTCTGGATCCAGAACAGAGTCGACTTCCTGGCGAAGCTTGGCCATACAAGATGGATTCTTGAGGAGCCAGTACATGACATTGTTCATGGCAATAGCGGTAGTGTCGGATCCAGCATTCATCATTATCGACACTTCAGCGACGATTTCTCCCCATTCGAGGCCAGGAGGGTTGGCCTCACTGTGGTCCATCAGGGCCTGAAAGAAGTCGGGTAGTCTCTCGCCCTTATTGTACCGTTCGAGGCGCTGAGTTGCGCGGTGATAGACGATATCGTTCCAACCCTCGTTCAGATTCCACCACTTACTGAAATCTTTGGATAACAACTTTGATAGCTCGATATTAGCATCGTACCACTTCTCTGTCCAAGCGAGAATGGATTGGGCGCGAGCTGTTGAGTGAAGACACTCTCGGAAGTTGACTTTATGGATAGATCCATCCATGCGTTCAGCTTTGACAAGATCATGGCCCTGATCCAGAAATCCAAGACGCTCGCTGAGGCCAATGTCGGCGATGGCATCAAGCGTGAAGAAGTTTGTAAAGGCGCGGTAGTCAAACTTAAGGTCTTCGGGATCAGGACGGATGAAACCCTCTTTGAGAGGTAGAGTGCAAGCAGTATCTGCAGCACGGATGAACCTCTCTGCCTTATCGGCGACTTTAAACTCCCAGTTCTCGAGATTCTTCAGGGCATATGCAGCAGAAAGTGCACGGCGCTTCCGAGCATGATCTGCCTTGTCTATGACATCGGCAAGGTGGTAATGCGTTCCAGCAAGAGTTTCATAGAACTCTCCCTTTGTGCATTTCGTGCCGTGCCCGTAGATATCCTTGATTGCCTGCACGGAACCGTAGGAGAGAGAGTTGGGGCCGGTGCGAATCACAGGATGGGTCTTGTGCATCTCATAGAGAGTTTTTGAGCGGAAACCTCTAGCGGCTTCTCGTACAAAGGGTAGATTGGTTATTCCCGCCAAGGGGTGGAAGTTGGGGTAGCGACGAAGACCCTTGGCATCGCGGATGTATTGGAATATGGGGTAAAGAATGAAATATGTGACAAGGAATAGAGCTGCTGAAACAGTGACAAGTTGTGCGTACATTTTGAAGGTCGTTTAAAGATTGAGAGGGAGAGCTTGACGAACAGGCTGAGGTCTTGGGAGATGTGATATACTTTCAACACAAGTTCAACAATAGAGTGTTGTGTTGACCCAATTCGTATACACATGCCATGGCTTAGTTGCCATATCTGACAAAAGAAAGAAAGACGCCGATTTAGGAAATATTGGGGAGTGTTGGTCCAGACTATCGATACCCCCATCAAACACACCTCAGCAATGCCGAGATCTGTGGGGAACAAAACGTGGGGTAGGACAGATGACAGAATCTGGAGTCACCGACTTTAGAATATTTCCTTTGTTATCTCTCTTACGGGATACAGATACTACTGCATGGTGAATATGGAGACGAGAGGGAAAGGTGTGGGATGATCTACACATCAAGGCTTGAGTTGGTGGGAATGACAGAAGTAAGGGAATAAATTAGTCGAATCTAGAACGAGACATCCAAATCGGGTAATTCTCCCCATTGAGTGTAACAAACATGGAAAGATAAGTCTGCGAATACCTTCAACTCTCGGTATACCCTATAGGAAAGACCAAAACAGATATGAATACCAAACTCTCTCCTCCTGCCTCCAGGCCAAATTGCCAAACTATCTTTTACCTACAGACAAAATCATGACAAACTTATTTGCAGCCGATACTCTCCTCTCCCAGTTGGGTCCTCCCCAATCAATCGCTGATATTACTGCTTTGAGCGCCCTCGGCGTTGCATCAGCAGCATATCTCCTCCGGGGTATCGCCTGGGATAGACCAGATCCTTACCATCATGTCTGGTTTGAACGCATGGGCTCCAAGAGTGGTGCTTCCTCAGGACCCAAAGCGACTCGCGATATAGCCAAGAGATTAGAAGAAACTGTATGCTTTACCACTGAAACTGTTCAACGAAAACTCTAACATGCAGCAGGGTAAAGATGTTGTCATCTTCTGGGGCTCCCAGTCAGGCACCGCGGAAACGTTGGCCAACAGACTCTCAAAAGAGTGCCATCTTCGCTTCGGTCTCCAGACTCTCTGCGCTGACCTTTGCGATTATGATCCAGAATCTATTGCCAACCTTGCTCAAAGCAAGCTTGCAATCTTCATCCTATCTACATACGGAGAAGGCGATCCCAGTGACAACACAGCCGCCTTCTGGGACTGGCTCACCAAGACATCCAGTATCCAACTACCTAACTTGAGGTATATAGCCTTTGGTCTTGGAAACACCAGTTATAGATATTATAACCGTGTTATTGATGTTGTAGTACAACATCTCGACAAATCTGGTGCTTCTCGACTTCTGCCTGTTGGTAGAGCCAATGATGCCCAGGGCGGTACTGAGGAAGACTTCTTGTCTTGGAAGGATGATCTTTATACTCATTTCCAGGAGAAGCTGGGTTATCAAGAGCGCGATATCCCATACGAGCCAAGCATTCGGCTTGTACAAGATGATTCGCTTGATATCATGGACCTCAATCTTGGAGAGCCTATCCCAAACCGAAGCGGACCTGCAAAGGTTGTAAAGCAATACTCTCCTATTCGCCCTCTGGCTATCCAGTCATCTCAAGAACTTTACGCGTCTCCGGGAAGAAACTGTCTCCACATGGAGCTCGATATTTCGGATCAACCTGAACTTCGATACAGAACTGGCGATCATCTAGCCATCTACCCGATCAATCCCGATCAAGAAGTCCAGTTTCTTCTTAAAGCTCTTGGATTGGAAGACCGAGCTGAAAAACCTCTCCTCGTTCAAACTCTTGAAGAGGGTGCATCTACCAAGATCCCTAGTCCTACGTCAGCGCAGGCCCTGTTCCGCCATTATCTTGAAGTAGCGGCGCCAGTGTCTCGAGAGACTGTCGGACAACTGGCAAAATTCGCACCTTCATCTGGAAGTGCTGAGGCATTGACAGTTTTGGCCAAGAGTAAGGAAGCGTATGCTACCTACATTGCCAGCAATCACATCACCATGGGCCGTCTGTTGCATCTCGTCGCTCCTGGAACCGTCTGGCTCAATCTGCCTCTCTCGTACGTGGTTGAGACGTTACCTTGCATTCAGCCACGTTACTATTCTATATCCTCCTCGAGTACAGTCTCAGCTCGCAGACTTTCAATCACTGTGGGCGTTGACAAGTCGCCGCTGCAGCAAGACCCAAGCAAGTGCATTCGTGGTATCACGACAAACTACCTCTACGCCCTCGGAAACGCCCTCAATGGCGATTTTTCACAGCCAGATGTTGGTCCCGACGCTCAATCGTATGCCTTATCTGGCCCTGGTGATGCTCTCAAGGGCCACAAGGTGTTTGCGTGTATCCGTCGTTCAAACTTCAAACTCCCAACATTGAGTTCAACGCCAATCATCATGATCGCTGCTGGCACAGGTCTCGCCCCATTCCGTGGCTTCATCCTTGAGAGAGCTCGTCTCCAAGCTGTCGGAAAGCCCATCGGTAAGATGCTTTTGTTCTTCGGATGTCGCTCCCCGGATCAAGATTACCTCTACCGCGATGAACTTGCCGAGGTTACCCAAAAGCTACAAGGCTGTCTTGAAGTTGTAAATGCTTTCTCGCGAGCTGAAGGGGAGCCTAAGAAGTATGTGCAAGACAGAGTGGAAGAGAGAAAGAGCCAAGTGTGTGATCTTTTACAAGAGGGTGCCAGTATCTACTTTTGTGGTCGTGCGGCTATGGCGAGGGAGGTTGGGAATGTAGTTGAGGAGTCGATGAAGAAGCAGAATAGTTGGACTGATGAAGAGGCTCGAAGCTGGGCTGAGTCGGCAAAGAAGGGAAATAAGTGGCTTGAAGATGTTTGGGGATGAATTATCCACTTGACTACGGAGATGGTCGATTATGGTTTGGGTGTAAAGCGAGATCGATATGGTCGCATAAGATATGAACTAAAGAGTTTACAGCATTCGTTTCATCTCACATCTTGTGAATTAGTAATAAGTGCCAACAGCATGCTAGAATTAGCCCAATATTTCTCTACTTTGCTTGACCAGAGCTATATTCTATAGACATGAACAGCCGATTCCAAGCTGCCTCACCTAGTCAGCAGAAAACTGGCCTCCTAAGTCTTACGATACAAAAATAAGTAGTCTAAGAGCTATAGCCTAAGGAGCATAAAATGACCTACTAATTTCATCTCTTATGCTTCTGACGGTCAACTTTTCTGGTACCCTGAGGCTCACCTGGCAATCCAAGTCCATCATACTAGCAGAGATTTTCACGGAGAGACCCAATGACTGCAGTGGTCATTTAATATACACTGAGTCTTTCATCTATTCATTTGAGATTTTACCGAATAATTTCAACGAAGTATTCTAGCGAAATATTCTCCCAGCCAATCCAAGTAACTTGGATGTAATACAGAGTATAGGTACCCACCCAGGTAACTATTCCAACGGCGTAAATTTCAGTAGAAAGCATTGGCGGAGAAATCTTCCGATTCTAGAATCCCCATTCTTCGGCCATTATTTCCAATCATGTAGGGCCAGAGTTAAGCCTCAGCTGCAATGTGGGGGACAACGACGATCAATTGGCTTGACCAAAATGCCCAAATACGGTAGGAGGCGCCGAAAAGATACTTCGTAGTTTCTTACTGTATCAGGTAATATCCTCTTAGATCCACTTGTGAGCGCATCGCGAACTTGCATGTCTAGCATGAGAGAACTTGGTAACTTAGCTATATGTTTATTGATATGATAGGTATTCTGTTAGTTTAACATGTCACTGCATTACTTCTGCATCAATACACATACAAACAGACCGCTTCACCATGTGTAACGTGGGGTATCGGGGTTCACTCACTCGGGTTGATCCTTGACTTACACCGAGTCGAATATGGGGAAGACGACGAGAAAAAGTCTGGGAAACACAAGGACAGTCTCTCTCTTTTCCGAATACCGAGAGAAGACTCCAAGTATAAGGGACAAGAACTCGCCCACGATTGCTGTTCTCTGATCCTTCACTCATCAGTCTCGACGCCTTGAAACCCAACAGACACTCGAGCTCATCACAACCTCTAAGCTCAATTCTTTTTTAATTTCTGCTCCGAAATGTCCTCCCCAAAGCTCCAAGTCGCCGTCGCCGGTCTCGGTCGCATGGGCGCTCGTCACGCCCTCAACTTCCACAACAGAACTCCCCGCGCTGAACTCGTCGCAGCCTTCACTCCCATCCCAAAAGAAGCTGAATGGGCTAAGGTTAATCTCGAGGGCGTTGTTATTTACAATGACTACCAGGAAATGCTCAAGCATCCTGGTCTTCAGGCAGTTGTGGTCGCTACTGTCACTACTGCGCACGCAGAGGAAGCTATCCAGGCCATTGAAGCTAATAAGCACGTTCTTTGTGAGAAGCCTCTTAGTACAAGCGTTGAGGTTGTAAGTATATTCACCTCCTTTGATCAAGCTTTTGTCTGACTTATCGTTCCAGTCCCAGTCTGTCGTCGATGCCGCAGCAAAGAAACCTCACCTTAAAGTCATGTGCGGTTTCTCTCGTCGTTTTGATGCTTCATACCGCGACGCCTTCGAACGAATGGACAGTGGTGCCATCGGCCGTCCCTCTATCTTCCGATCCCAAACATGCGACAAGCTAGACCCGTCTGGCTTCTTCGTAGCCTACGCCGAGTTCAGCGGTGGTATCTTTGTCGACTGCAACATTCACGACATTGATCTGGCCCTTTGGTACTTTGGACAAGACTCAATCGTCAAATCCGTTGTCGCTACTGGTATCACAGCAGTGCAGCCAGACCTTCGCAAGCACAACGATGTCGACAACGCCGTCGGTCTGGTAGAGTTTTATGGCGGAAAAGTTGCTTATTTCTATTCCTCGCGTATGATGGCAGCCGGACAGCATGATATGTCTGAGATTATCGGCACCGAGGGTAAGATCACTATCAATGCGAACCCTGTCGGAACATTGGTGGAGATGCACGAGGCTGCCGGTGTTCGACGACAGATCCCTGGCGATTACTACGGCAGGTTTGAGCATGCTTTTGTTGCGGAATCCAACGAGTTCACTGCTGCTGTCCTCGATAACACAGCCCTTCCATTTAAGCTCGCTGGAGCTGTCCAGGCTGTCAAGATTGGCTGTGCTCTTCAGGAGTCACTGAACTCGGGCAAGAAGATCAGCTTTGATGAGGCAGGCCGTCGCGTGGAGGGATCCAAGTTGTAAAAGTGTTACGGTAGTCTCATGTACGTATGTCTTAATAAGCCATATCTACTTTACATATAATACATAATCCATCTTTTATCGTTTTCTCTCTGGCCAAGCATCGGCAAGACCCTCATAAATCGTCACATTACTGAATGTCACATCGCCACTTCCACTGTGGAAGAAGCGAATATCAGTCGAGTCGGCATACCAGGAACTAAAGAAAAGTTAGTAGAGTTTAATGAAACCAGATGTTGAGCAAACTTACCGAGCCCAGGTGGCCACACCGAATCGGTCGTTGGCGTGAACCTCGACCATAGCATTATCAACAACAATAGTAAGATCCAAGGTCTCAACCTGCTCTTCGTCATCAATGACAACGTCAAACAGACGGAGTCGGCCAGCTTCGTTTCGAGAGTCGATATCGCTGGTTGTGAGGGCAGCAGCACTGGTGTTGTTGCGGTCAATGATGATAGACTCGTTGGAGAACTGGTAGTAGATAGTCGTGGACTCCTTCTCAGAAGCCAAGATTTGGAAACCAGCCTTCAGGTCAGAGTCGCGGGCAGACTTGGGGAAGGAGATGGAGCTCTTAAGAAGGTAGAACTTGGAGTCGGGGTTGTTGTCAAAAGTGGTCGATCCTGACTTGCTGATGTTTCGACCAGCTTCAATAATGGGCTTCACCTTGGTGAACTCGGCCATGGGCTCACGAGCAATAACCTGCTTCATGGTGGCGAGCTCCAGGATACCTGACTCGTTTCTCTCAACGCGCCATGAGCCCTCCTCGCGAGAAAGCTCGTTATCGACAACATTGCTGATCTTGCCAACAGTAAGCTCACGAGGAAGAAGCAGGGCTCCAGTCCAATTCTGCTGTGGGGTAGGGAACAGCTTCAGGTCGCCATAGTAGTCTCCAGTGAGCCAGAGGTAGCTGATGAATCGGTCTGGCGCCCCGCTCTTCTTTGACGCCTTTGAGTCAGAGGGCAGGTACTTGCCAGCAGCGGCATAAGCAGAGTGTCCCCAGTCCATCTTGCCGACCATCGTAGGGGTGAATTTAGCCTTGCCCTTTTCCATGGTGGTGTTTCCTGCAGCCCAGAGCATCTCACGAAATTGTGAGACCTGACTAGGTGCTGGTGCTTCAGACCATTCGGCACCAAAAGTCATAAAGGTCTCACCGTCAGAGTTGTAACCCTCCTCGTCGATGCTGAAAATGTTACCGACCTCAAAGTTGAAGCCGTAGCGTCCGGCCCAGATACCCTCACCCCAGGTCATGTTGGCCTTCTCGTGCCACCACTCACCCATGTACTCCCAGTACTGGAACTCAGGGTCATACTGACGGTAGAGGAACATGCTAGGGCCCTTTTGTTGGACACCTCCAGAGATCACGCTGTACCATACACCTGGCTCGCTATCCAAAAGGTTATCGAGCTCCTTGTTCTTGAAAACAAAGGGATCACGGAAAGCTGTAACATTGAGTGCAAAGGGTTGATCCGGAATCGCGGGACCGCCTCGAACTTTTGTGAAATTACGTCCTCCATCTGTAGATACAGCGAGGGACTGGGTCTCGGCGCCGCGGGTGTGGTTGATAGTCCAGTGGATGGGGAGGTATGAGACGGAGGTATAGAAGAGGGTGGGTGTTCCATTGATGCCAACAGGGATGACTGATCCATCAAAAACTGCAACTGGATCATTTAGACCTCCAGCGCGAATAAAAGGTGCGCCGCCTGGGTTGAGGTCCTTGTATGTAACCAAATCATCTGTTGTGGCACCAGAAGCACCCTCGTGTAGGAAGCCAACGTGGAAGAGTCCGGTCTTGGGATCAGTGTAGTGCATACAAGGATCTCCAATTTGTCCAGTAGGTGGAAGGACATGAGCTCGTGGACGCCATGTGTTGTAAATGGTGAGGTTGGCTAGGGTTGACAGATTGGGAGGAGCTCGGTTGTAGTCCAACTTGGGAGTTGATGGACTGGCCCAGGCAAGTGAGCCAGCCGTTAAGAAAAGCGAGAACTTCATGATTGACACTTTGACGACCACATACAGCCAATGCACCATAAAATTGAAACCGAGGAGCCGCTGACGCTCATATATATATCCTAATCGCAACAGCCCAGGCAAACTCTGTCGCCCCGACAGGCAGGGAGCGGGGATGGTAACATCGTCATGAGAAAAACCAACTTTGAGCCATGCCCATGGTATGCCCATGCTCAGCCCGACCCAAAGAACGGGATTCTTTCTTCTCCCATTGCGATGTTCGGCGATACCACGGCGTGAACAGGGCAGAGAACAGTCCCAGAGGCTTAACTTTTACCAAAGTAAACCTGGAGTCCGGAGACTTGTGGAGTTTGTGTGGGGAGATCGACAGTTTCTCGTTTCCCGTTCTACCCTTGAACGTTGGTGTTGAGTTCGCGGTGACGTAGACTTCGGGGAAGAATAAGCTTGGCGGACGGCGCTAGAAATTTACACTTTTTGCCGTGAGGAAGTTCTGGAATTAAGATTTAGCCAATTGATCTTTTCTGGGTTGATCGAGATGATTTTGGAAAATGATAAATGATTGATCTGCATTTCCGACAGGCAGGTTCACCATGATTGATGTACCTGTCTACTGTTGTTCGGGGAATCATGGTTGTCGAATGACATATGGGGTGAGCGGATCCATTGTCGGTCCGAGAAAAGG